CCTTGTATGAGCGTCCCTCTGGTGATATGGACCAATTTTCCACTTTTTTGAACAATGCAAATGGGTGAATAAATAATGATTAGTTTTAGCCTGTTTCTCATTTCATCCACGATATCTCCTTCGCTGAATTTCTTTAGACTTGAAAGTAGCCCTCGGATGGAATCGTGTGAACATGAGACTGGTAGGCATCTGGCCAGAGCCGATTAAGAAGAATGAACGATGGCAAGATTTCAAGGTGTTATTCTTCCTGATGGTAATATCGTTCTTCGGGGTCGGGCCACAGACCGCGAATCTCTACTTCATAGGGAGAGATCTACAATTGGTCACAGAGAATCTGTCCACGGCTAACATCCCCGGCATAAACGCGTTAATGAAGCTGATCTTTTCTTGGTACTACAAGAATTGTACGTACGCTAAACGAGACCAGTTGAATGCCTCGGAGCCAGGGTAACAGTTATTTATTTACAGCTTTCAAGCCCCTCGTGCAAACGTTCTACGACGATTGGCGAACGCCGTTGACGGAAGAAGAAAAAGCGATCATGATGAAAGGGGCCAAGTCTGGTAGACTGATCTCCGTTTGGTGCTCAGCACTGACTCTTCTCATGGTCACTTTGTATCTTAGCTCTCGGTCGTATATCGTCTATCGAAGTGACATTCAAAACGAGGAGAAGTACAGACTTTTATTGTACCCTGGCTATGTACCGTACGACATTCGACGGGTAACACTGCTGATATTCGCGAACGTGGGCCAAGTGGTCGCCGGGTACTCGGCTGTCATTTATTATACCACTGTGGACACTTTCATCGCGATGCTGGTGATACATTTGACCGGGCAGTTTCAAATATTGAGAAACAAGTTGGAGAAGCTGATGGGGGACGAGAATGGCGATAGGAGTTCGTACGAGATTCAACAGGAACTGGTTTCCATTGTAAAGAGACACGAACATCTCAATTGGTGAATCAGTCATTATCTGTATCTTTCAAAGATACTTCTTATTGGGTTGGCAATTAAGGATGTATTGGCTATACAGTCAATCCGAAAAGTTTATGTACGTTAGAAAAACGCATTTCCTATAATTAAAAAGAAATCAGACATCGGAAGAATAATGCTAATAATAAATAGCTATGTGCNCAATGTTCGTCCGAAGTATGATTTCTTTTTAAAAAATGCGTTTCTAAAGTGCATAAACTTTTGTGATTGACTGTATAGCCAATACATCCTTAAATGATTGCGGATTTTGTTAATTGGAAACCTATTTCTCCTCATGATTTCTACCGATGTGAATCTTTTCAAAATTTTCTTATTACTATAAGAAAACTGGGCTCACTTGATTCAATTTTAAAAAATGTATTGAGGTTTAGATTATGTTCGTTCAGTTTTACTCTTTAGTGTACATATTAAAACTGATTTTCGAAATAATTTTTATTAAAGGTCAGCCAGCAAAATCGATAATTGCTTCAGCACGCTGCTGTTAATTCAGATGCTGCTTTGCACCATCGAACTGTGCCTTCAAGGTTTCTACTTCTTCAAGGTAATCTTGGAACACTTTTTTTCTCACGCTTGTACAATCGATTATAAGGAATTGAATTACGCAGGTGATATTGAGAAACGAGAATGGACTCCTCAGCGTTGATTTCGCATTCTTCATTACGTTCGTCTGCTTCATTCTCGTACACATATTCATTTACTGTTATATAGGCGACATGCTCATCGTCGAGGTAAATTTCGTGATTCCCAATTGCCATTCAATCAGATGAACGAATTTCCTTTTGGCCAGTGTAAAGAGTTGAGTGACTCCGTGTACAAATCGAATTGGTTCAACGTTTCTCCTCCGAATCAAGCGAAACAAATTCTGTTCATCATGACTAGATCCACCCGGCCGCTTAGCCTGACCGCAGGTAAATTCGGCACTTTTTCCATGGAAATGTTCAGTACCGTAAGTTTCCTTACACTCTCGACAGAAATTTTCAATAATTAACCCTTTCGCTTTGGCAGTCCAGTTCGCCAAAGTGCCGTGGATGACCGTGTGGATGCCGGATATATCCGGCGCTCGAAACGAAAGGGTTAATTCACCACTTTCTATATTTATTTAAATAAATTTCGAGGCAATTGTTCGTTTCAGATATTAAAAACAGCAATGGGATATATGTCGGTCTTACTGACAGTTTCTGACAGGTCTGAAGCGAGCGACGATTAGACTTCTACATTCAACGAATCAATTAGTAGAGACTGTAGAATTGATGATATAAATTCACTATCGTCTACCTCTGACTAAATACATTTATACGCTTTCCCGAAAATTCTCCATTCAATCCCAATATCACTTGTCACGAGACACACTGGCGAGATTTCTGGTCGTACGGAAGAATGATTGCCGGCGACAGTTTTTATGTTTCGTCTGGTCGAACTTTCGTTTTACAGGACAAAGTTCAGATTATAGCCTCCCTCGCAAACATAGATCGTGATTATTAAAACTTTCGATGGATGAAGTTTCCAGTACGGTATTGAATACGTAATGAGGGAAAGGGTTGCACGCAATCCGATAGTTCAGTCACCAAAATATCTCCAATCGAGTCTGACAAACAGACGCAGGCTCTACTTGCGTTTCGATATGCGCGGTTCTTGAAATATTAGAATACTTTTAACGTACTATATTTCACTTAAGATTTCTAGAGTCGATTATTGTAATTTGCAGCAACGGGAGATGGAATTCGCGATGGGCTGGAATCGTTACAATCTAACGTTGCTTGGTGTCTGGCCGGAGCCGAGGGAAACTTCGAGTCTGTCACGGTTCCTGTCGAATTTAATATTTTGGTTCGGTACCGTCGTGACAGTTACGTTCATCTGTGCTCCTCAGACTGCGTATTTAGTACTGAGATCATCCAGTTTGGACGAAGCCATTGAGAATCTATCGGTCAACGTACCGATTGCTTTCGCGGTGGTCAAGCAAGCCGTACTTTGGTACCGTAAAAAAGGTATCGATCCTTTAAGGATGTATTGGCTATACAGTCAATCCCAAAAGTTTATGTACCTTNTAGATCTCGACGTCCTCTACAAAAAACGTCTCATGCAATTTTTCCGTAAGCCCAACGGTTTAGAAGTTATTGGCAAAAAACGAAAATTTGGAAGAAATTGAAGGGGTACCCCTTGGAAAAATCTCGGAAAAATCGAAAATTTTTTTTGTTCTTTATTATTAGCAATGTTCGTCCGAAGTGTGATTTCTTTTTAAAAAATGCGTTTCTAAAGTGCATAAACCTTTGGGATTGACTATATAGCCAATACATCCTTAAATGCCAAGTGAAATTCGATGCACACAAATAATTATTGCCTGCATTTAATTCGATATATTTACGCAATTTGTAGTTAATTGAATTAACATTGGAACATTTATTTATCCAGCATTGGCTTTATTGGTCAGCCAAATATTGGACGATTGGCGCGAGCCGATCGGCTCGCAGGACCGAGAGACGATGCTGAAGAACGCAAAACTCAGTCGAATCACGTCCATCGTCTGTTCGTTTCTAACATATTTCCTATTAGTCACGTTTATATCATTGCAAGTTTGGAACAACATGCAGAACACGTCGGAAGCTGACCTCGGAGGGCTTCTACATCCAGCCATGTTCCCATACGACACGCAGAAGAGTCCGAACTTCGAGATCACCTGGCTGGGTCAATTTATAGGCACTGTATTGACGGCGATATGCTATTCTTCCTTCGATACTTTTCTAGCCGTTCTCGTGTTGCACTTATGTGGACAAATAACTGTCCTCAGAGTGACTCTCGAGAGTTTGGCGAGGAAACAAAATGATTCCTCGAAATTCTTTAAGGATTTGGGACTCATTGTCGACAGACACGATCAATTGTTCAGATTCGCAATAATCGTGGAAGACTGTTTCAATCTCACGTTACTCGTTCAGATCTCAATCTCCACTGCCATGTTCTGTCTCACTGGATATCGTATTATAAAAGTACGTTGATCATCGAATTGTTAATGAATTAAACATTTAGAAAACTCGATTTTTTAGTCTTTAGACGAAGATGAACAACCGGATGGACAGATAGTTGGCTTAGCGTTCTTTCTCATACACGTGATTTATACTATGCTGCATCTATTCATTTATTGTTACGTCGGGGAAATGCTTCTGGAACAGGTATCCAAATTAAAAGTCTTTTAATCGGTAGACTTCGTTCGTAAAAAATAAAATATTTATGGTATGAGTTAAAAAAATCTATTTTACATAAACATTTGTTTTAAATATTGAATTATGTATTCAGCTTTTGGTATTNGATTTTATAATAATTTTCAGAGTACCGGTGTAGCTGAATCTGCGTACGATTGCAACTGGCACGATCTATCACCTAGACAAGCTCTCTCGTTAGTCATAGTGATGTGTCGAGCCAGAGCAGCGTTTCAATTAACAGCTGGAAAGTTCCGACCGTTTTCTCTCGAACTTTTTAACGCTGTACGAATAATTATTCACTATTTTCATTACACTTCACAGTAGTTACAACGTTTTCACTAATTGCATGCACATGTTGATCGATAACATTTCTTCAGATATTAAAAACGTCTGCTGGATATTTATCCGTGCTGTTGGCTATGAAAGACAGGCTCGATTAGAGGTCATGATTATTTTATACGATAATTAAAACGTAGGAACGTTGGAAACTCGATGGATCGAATAAATACCTTGACATAAACAAATTTCAAGCAATTCACCTGAGAAATATTATTTAAACCTTCTTCAATTATTATCAATCGTTATCGTTACTACAC